CTCCTAATAAGCTATCATTATAGGATAGCCACGTGATTATATAATTTATAAAAACTACTTTACAATGTTAAGAATTTAGAAGCAAGCTCCTCAACAAAAAACCGAGTTAAACAGAAACGATACTCAATTTCTTCAGAAGCTTGAGAGGAAAATCCCTCAAGATATGTTTTAATTTTAACGCAGACTGAAGAGTCTAATATCGAAAATATCCAAGAGCTTGTACTTTTTTCAATGTGGAAGAAGTACGTATTAAAAGAAGACCATTTGGTTAAGTCAAACTTAGGAACTGAAGCTAGTATTGATAATGAATGCATCTTAGATATCGAATTTGAAATGAGTCCTCATGCTGATCCTCTCTTAGTTGAAAAAAGAAATGATTCTGTAAGTAAAATCAGTACTTCTAAAGATCCTCTAGATATAAGTCAACAAGAGATGGATTTGCTTCAAACTTCAAGACACCTTTCCCCCGTCTATTTTCGAGAAAGGCATTCCAGAAATGTTGCTGAAAAATCAGAAGTTTGGAAGAACCATTCATTCACATTGGCCAAATATTGATGATAAAAAGAAAGGTCAAATAAGAAGAAAAACGAATAAATTACCTAACTTCAGAGAAATAGCAAAAATTTCAAGAGGCTGAAAGATCTAAAAAAAAGTTAAAACAAGAGAACATGGAAAAGAAAAAATACTTAAAGACAAAAAGCTTCAAGAAATAAGAGGAAAAAGAGTAACCAAAAAGGTGATAAAATAATAATAAACAGCATCGGATGACACAATGATTTAGATTTGACTGTTAAATTATAAGAAAAAAAGATTTTTTTATATTTATTTTGTATTTAACATCACTTTAATTTCTAGTTCACGATTACAGAAAAAAGTTAGCATTTTACAAGTACTTGTATGTTATAACTTCACAAATAGTCTTGTTTTTATACATTTGTAAGGCATAATCATAAAGAGCATTAAAAAATAACCAAAATTAAGTGTTCCTTCACTGGTTATTTGAACCTCCAAAACAATATTATGTAAGTTCTCTACAATTTTTTTTGCATAGTTTGCAATTAGTAACAAATATGTTGACACTGTCATTTAACTGAAATTACGAATTTTGAAATTAATATGATTTTTTAAAAGGCAAGCGAAGCTTAAGTGTTCCTTCACTGGTTAGTTTACCCTACATCAAGTTTAAATACTGTAAAAAAAATATTTATTCATCTGTCTTTTGATAAAGTAAGAACAGGACATAAGAAAGTAGACCAATAACGTAGACCTAATAAATATTTTTAAGGACAGAAGAAAAAATTCCGATTTCCATCTTCGAGTCAGTCTTGTTTCTGTCTTACTTCCGTCCGCGGACAATTTCGAAAGACGGAAATCCGTCCTGGGGACAGAAGACTTGCACCCATGATGCCCTCTAGTGAGTTGATTAAAAAAAAAACATAAAACAAAAATATTTTATAATCGGCTGATTTTGAATATGCCACATATGAACTGTCTATCATCATGAAAAATTTCCTAAACATAAGAAAAACAAATTTCAAGGAACGAGACTTCACAAAACAATATACAAGAATTTGAATTTTATTCAAATCATAAAAAAATACAAAACATTAACAACTGCCAGTCATACACTATGGTTAAGTATATGACAAATTAAATAGCTCTGGGCTAGTTTTTATAGAAAACCAGATAAAAAAATTTTTTAAGCATGTTACTAGTTTAAATTTGGAAGAAAAAAAAACAAGGAATGCTTAGAATTTCCACTTTATTCGACAACAGGTTGCTCTTCATCTTCGAAGTCCCCTTCATCATCAGCTGTGGCTTCTTGGTATTGTTGATATTCAGAAATGAGATCATTCATGTTAGACTCTGCTTCTGTGAACTCCATCTCGTCCATACCTTCACCAGTATACCAATGCAAGAAAGCCTTACGCCTGAACATAGCTGCAAAAGAAAACAGTTATGAGTTATCCAGTTCCTAAGGGGGAAAGAATCTAATCTTCTTTGTTTCATTAGGAGTAAGTCTCACAAAAAATATATATTTATTTATTAGCAACATTATAGTTATACATTTTGTTAGGTTGTCTTAAGTAATAATTTAAATAGTGTTGAATAGTTAGTTATACATTAAGTATTTTAGAATAATTTAGTATTTTTATAGAATTATTTGTATTTATTTTTGATCCCTTCTAAAATGGATGCAAAAATTTAACACAGTGTTATGGTGCAGCATTCCCTTTGTATTAAATTATACAAATAGGATAACAATTTTGAAATACATAATTTAAAAAAAAAAACATTAATTATAGGTCTGCATATTGTCATACTAATTATTGATGATGGAGCTTGATTTTCAAGCAGTAGCACAAATATATGATATTCAAGTATAGTAAACGCATATATACACTTGATAGCTTGAGAAGTTAAAAGATGACTTTGAAAAGCAAACATGCTACTCACCAAAGGCAGCCAGTAATAATAAAATGAGCTAATTTAGTCAAGTCATATTATTACACATAGCTTTGGTTCAGTATTAATAAATGTTGATTTTTTGAAATGTTGAATGCCCAGAATTAGCTAAAGAATTATTTATCAGTAAATATAGAATATATAAGAAATACTAGCAGAAAATATTGCTATCTATAATTTGAAAATTTTACTTTTTTTAACATATCATATGCTCAAAATCGATTGATATGATAAAATTATAAGGTTTGGTCTTCAACAGAATACTTTTTCTAGATGTTAAGATTTTACAAATAAACTTAATTAACTGCAGATTACCAAAATAAATGGCAGCACTACTGCCACTGTTTTTACTATTGCTTTTACTTCAGTTAATTTTTTAATCCAAGCAAATCACAAATAAAGAGGAAAATAAAAATTTAATACTCTAATTAATAGAATACAATATGTAAAGATTTAATGGTTTAATTAGGAGAAATGCACATGAAAGTTTTTACTTTACCCCCAGTATTTTTCCTTTTATGGTAAATTATTGATGCAAATAACCATTGTGAAGTAGTTTCGGGTCAATTGCCCAGAATCTTCAAACCCGTGCATGGATTCTATCAATTTGTATTAGAAACTTACAATACCCTATTGACAGCAAAATACAATACAAGCCATCTATATTCCTTAAAAATACTACATCTAGTACCATTAATGAATCTTACCAGTAAATTGTTCTGAAATTCTTTTGAAAAGCTCTTGGATAGCTGTGCTGTTACCAATGAAGGTAGCAGACATTTTAAGTCCTCTAGGTGGAATATCGCAAACAGCTGTCTTGACGTTGTTAGGAATCCATTCAACAAAGTAACTGCTATTCTTATTCTGTACATTAAGCATTTGTTCATCGACCTCTTTCATACTCATGCGGCCTCTGAAGATGGTGGCGACAGTTAAGTATCGACCATGTCTTGGATCACAGGCGGCCATCATGTTCTTGGCATCGAACATTTGTTGGGTGAGTTCAGGAACTGAAAGAGCTCGGTATTGCTGGCTTCCTCTGGATGTAAGTGGTGCAAAACCAGGCATGAAGAAATGAAGACGAGGGAATGGGACCATGTTTACGGCTAGTTTTCTGAGATCGGCATTGAGTTGACCGGGGAACCTGAGGCAGGTGGTGACACCAGACATAGTGACGGACACAAGATGATTGAGATCTCCATAGGTTGGAGTTGTGAGTTTAAGTGTGCGGAAGCAGATATCGTATAAGGCTTCATTGTCAATACAGTATGTTTCATCTGTATTTTCTACTAGCTGATGGACGGAGAGGGTTGCATTGTATGGTTCAACTACAGTATCTGACACCTAGAATTAAAGTAAATTACATGCTAAAATATTTATTAAGTTGTCAGCTTCAGCAAAACACATGTCAATTGAAAAGTTTAGGGAAAGAATTACGGTGACATTTTAAAACAGTGTGACATTATGATGGAATTTTTTAATGAGGTTATTAAAGTTTTTAATAAGAAAATGCATCCAGTAAATGTCGTTTTTACTGCTGTTATATTTTGTAAAACTGATGTTCTTGGATTCCCTAAATTTCAATTAAAAAACATTTTTTCCAATAAGCTCACTATAGAAGATAAAATTTTGGGAAAAATTAGGCAAAATATCTAGCTGAACCAAATTTATTTGTTGTGTTCAGTAAAGGCTAAAATAAATTATAAATTAAAAACCAAGAACTTGATAGTTGCCCAAGAATAGCTTTTGAAAAATGAATTAGACAATTTGATAGCAGCTTATTTGCAATGCACTAATTTTGTATACAGCAAAGCATTAAGAAAATAATATGTGAAAGACTGGTAACTATTGCAAAAATTTCATGATTATAAAATGTTAATTCTATGATAAAATCAATTCAAATGAGCTATATAAAAAAGACCAAGTAAATCTTTAGAAGCAAAAAATATCCATCATACAGGATTAATCTTAGTCTTTTTGAAAAGTGAAATCCTGCAGATCTGCAGAAAATGATAAGTATGCTACATTGCTAATTAAATGCACCAATAAGATTACCCTTTTAAATCATTTTAAAGCATAACAAAAATGAAAAAGTGCTAGAAATAAAAAAAAATTCAAATCTGAGGAAGATTTTCACCACCGAGTCAATGAAACTGTTCAACTTTCCTTACTAGAAAACACTCAATTATACAAATAACTAATTTAAAAAGTTAATTTTCGTTATTTCTAACAACTCACCTTAGGAGAGGGCATGACACTAAATGTATTCATTATTCTATCAGGATACTCTTCACGGATTTTAGATATAAGTAATGTGCCCATTCCAGACCCAGTACCACCTCCAAGTGAATGGGCCAATTGGAAACCTTGAAGACAATCACAGCTTTCGGCTTCTTTTCGTACAACATCTAATACTGTATCTACAAGCTCTGCTCCTTCTGTGTAATGACCTTTAGCCCAGTTGTTACCAGCACCACTCTGACCTATAGGAGACATTTCAAGGTCATTAATAACTTATTCATATATTATGATTCGCTTACATTTCATTCAGTTTCAGTGTTCTGAAATTTTATACCTCTCAAATTTACTTATGTTTATTACACAGTAAAAGTTTACATTTCTTAAGTAAAAGAATGTAAGGCACAACCCTAGTTAGCATTGCCATGTAATAAAATATATGGGGGTCAGTTTTGTAAAATTGTCTTTATGAAAAACGGTTAAATCTTTATTTTTCATTTTCATACTTAAAATATTTGAGATACAATTATTGTGTGAAGACTAAATATAACAATGTAATTCATATTGGCTCTTAAGTATCTTATAAAATAAATAAATAAATATAATAATAAAATAAATAAATAAAAGCAGGTTAATGTGTCGTTGTAAATTTTAACTGACAAGATATGAAGACTGTCTATATTACCTTTTTCCTATCTAAGCTTTCTTAATGTTTTACACAGAAAAACTTAGTATACAGTATATACCGGTTTATCAGTCAACTCTCAATTTTTGATTAAGTGATAAAAAATTTCTATTATGTTGAGAATAAAAGCAGACTGCTAAACAAAATTTTAAAATAAAAAACATTAAAAAAATTTATTAAGCCTGCTGATATTTTTGAAGTTAAAAATAGTTCACATTGTCTTCCCTTGAACATACAATTGCCCTCAAATAAATATGTTATGAGACATCCTCTTTAAATTATGATACCAGATATATCAAATAATAAATGACACATTTTACATTTACCAAATAAAGCAACCGATACAAAATATTAATATTTAATGAATAAAATAGTTTTAGATATCTTTATCAAATGAAGAGTAAGTTAGTTTTGAACTAAAAAAAAATGACCAAAATAATATATTTTAAGTTAATTAAAACTTTCTTTTTCCTCATTAATGACCTTAACTGCATATTTTTTAAAATAATTAAGAGCAAAGTTTCATGTCACTATTAGTGTCTGTAAGTACAAACAGATTTGAAGGTACAGATACAAACAGATACTGAAGGTAAATCAAACTTCTAATCTATATAATTTATTTTAGTAACAAAAAATTATTTAATTCGAAGGAAAAAAATTATCGGAAATTTTTAAACTTACCAAAGATGAAATTGTCTGGCCTAAATAATTGGCCAAATGGACCAGATCGTACGGAGTCCATAGTTCCTGGCTCCAAATCCAGTAGAATAGCCCTAGGTACATATTTTCCACCTACAAATAAATTATCGGAATTATAATCAGGTTAAATTATAATTTTAAAACTAAAGCAATACATCAAAAGATTACTAGACATAAAAAATATTATTTGAATCAGTAACAAAAAAATTATATTAATAAAAAAACCAATGTGTTTAAGGATTATTTTAAAAACAAAGCTGTAGTGTCAAAATTAAATACATAAAAATCACTATTAATCATTATAGATCCTTTTTTTAAAAAAATCTTTTATTTAATAAATGAAGTAATAAAACATACCAGATGCTTCATTATAATATACATTTATTCTTTCTAACTGTAGATCTGAGTCACCATGATAAGAACCAGTGGGATCGATTCCATGTTCATCAGATATAACTTCCCAAAACTAGAAGATAAAAATTATCTTAATTTTATTCATTTACTTAAAAATATTTATTTTGAATACAATTATAACAACTCAAAGAATGTTTTTTTTTCTTTTTTTTAATAGAGAGAATTGAGGTAAAAACTAAAAATATTTAAAAAAAAATTTTGGTAAAAATTATCATTTGATCTAAATCTAGTCTTTTTTTAAATAATAATATAAAAAAATAGTGTATGCAAATTAAGGTAGATTTTGTGAGCAAAACTAGTTAGTTACTACCACGATATTAGAAATAATGCAAAAATAAGAGTTCAAAAACCTTTTTGTCAGCAGGTGAAATCTAATATCAATTTTGTACACATAAAAATTCAAGATTAATAAAAAGAAAGCAAATTTTAAAACATCATGAAGTCAAAATTTGAATTTAAACTAATATTAAAAACAACATCAAATAAAAATGTTTCAATATTAATATAATAGAAGGTTTAACAATAAATTATAATTTAAAAGAATTTTTTAGTTAAATGACATTACTTTAATATGAAAATTTAATATCGAACGTAAATGCCAGGTACAAATATAAATATTTACTTCATAACACTTTAGTCAGGTTATGAAGTGATGCATAGAGTGTTGCCCACATAACTGGGTGTGTCCTTCAAATCCGAACTAGCTGAAAATTAGGGGAGGGGGAATGAACTGCAGCATTATTCCTCTGATTATAAATAAAACTATTGTTTTCATAAAAATTTTTAAAACATCAAAATGATTGGGGTCAATAAAAGAAATCCGGAAAATCTCCCAGGCGCAATATCATAAAGCGGGTGTTAAAGTTAACTTTTTTCTTACGATGATGATTAGTACTTTGTTAACTATTAGTAGAAACACCTATAAAAAGTTCGATATTTATGAGCTAAAGATAACTAAATTCAAAAGATAATTTAATGAGATACAAATTCAAAAGATAATTTAATGGGATGCAAAGTCCTTTCATTGTCAAAGAATCTAGAAAAAGTGCAGCTACTTAAAATACGTCAATACTAACAGTAACAACAGTTAGGCTTAAATACTTATTTTAAGTTTAGTGCACAAAAAATGTAAAAGATCTATATTCAGAAACAGATACAATAGAATTTTGCAATTGACATTCGTTGAAAATATGTTAATTCNTACATGTGCTAATTTCTATACTACTATTAATGTCTGATAATTTCTTTTTATGTTGTTTAATACCTTACTATGTGTTGTATATTGTGGGTAAGTTTCATAAAATTCCATGTGTAATTTCTTGAGTTATCGCGATTTTTGTGAATTTTCCTTAATTTATGATAACCAGTGTAGATCAACTCTATTATGCCTATAAGCTTTTACCTTATACAAAAAGTCTATCTGTATGCGCGTCAATACAAGAGTTGTATGCGGATTCTCCGTAAATCGAATTGTAAAGTTCGATATATCCGAAGCTCAAATTAACAGAAATAAAATTTTATTTAAATAAAAAAAAAATATATAACATTTAATTGTATTTAACTAAGATGTTTTATAAGAAATAAACTTACCATAAAATTACTTAACTTTAATGAACATCTACAAGTTAAATAATATAATAAATAAGAAAATCGAAAAACATTTTCTATATATGAGTGCTGGGGGTAATATAATGGTAAGTCACGTTTTCAAATATTTAAAGAGAACGTTCTTTTTTTTCCGGGGGGGGGGGGGGNGGGGGAGATGGGAGGGAATACCCGGATTTCCATAAAGGCAGCAATTTAATGTATCCCACAACCAAAATTGAATTGTATGTAACTTAAATTGTATTGTATTGTATTTATTTATTGAATTGTATTTAACTAAGATATTTAATAAGAAATAAACTTACCATAAATTTACTTGATTTTAATGACTATCTAGAAGCTTATTGCAATAAATTTGTAAAATATATTATATTTATTAAAAGCTTGATGCAATAAAATGATGAGCCACATTTTCTCAATTGTTAAGGAGAACGCTCCATGAACGAACCACAATTTCCACGAATTTAATGTATCCATCAACTATGTATTGAGCTGTTATCAATCAAGATTACAGGAACTTGTAAAGTACCTATCTGGAAATAATAATAATGATTAGTTTGATGTAAGCATGTCCTCTTTGGAGAAAGTAAAACTTATCACACAAGCCCGTATTTTGGATGACATTTTTTTTCTTCACATTTTAGCTTCTTTTTTTTCTTTTTTTTTTTGACATAGAGTAAATTTTTTTAGATAAAATCTTTCCAATATTTCATAATATTGAATATTCCGCCATTAAATTACGTTACTTTGTCAATGTTGAGGGTGATAGATACCCATAATAAATAATAGATACTCGTCATAAATAAGGTATCAATCAAGGAAATAGTATCGCATATCCATAGCAACAAATGTTGAAGTTTCGATAGACAATTTTAAGGTAATTTACGTCTATGTGAAACTGTCAGCAGCACATGGGTTCAATGTTAAGATTTAAACTAGGAAAAAACTAAAAAATTAAATTGAAAACACATCAAAACGTGATAAACAAGGATACTAAGTAAACAAACAGGAATTGAAAGGCGATTATCAAGTAATAAAACAGGTTTTAATGTTTTTCATTCGAAATCAGTGATGATTCTATTATTTTCGATTGCGTTTTTGTTTGTTTTAAGTTTGAACATTAATTATCCACACCTAATGTATACACAAAAAATATTTCATGATTTTTTGTATATACCTAAAATGTCTACTTTATCACTACATAATTTCACTAAAAATATAACTATAATATATGGGGTTATGGGCTCTTATTGCAAAACACCCTGTATTAAAAAAATGCATGGTTGCTACTTTTTACTCAAATTGTCCCTGTTTAACTGAACTGAGGGCATGCAAATTAAAATAACACAGTTGTTATAAACCTGTTTAAACGAAATATTTTTCAAACTATTTCTTAAATTCGAAAAAAAAATTTCATGTCCTCTATAAAAGGAATTAATACTATATATCGTATTTTTACAGTAAAATGATTGCAAAAGCTGTATGATAGTAAATAAAATGTAGAAACAATAAACTACACAGAATTTTTAATAAATCGAATGCATTCATTATCTACAGTGTACAGTGCTTAAAATAATAATAAGAAGAAGAAAAAATAAACGGACCACCCAGAATATCTTTTGTTCTAATGTTCGGATCTCCACGTTCTAGAATTCTAACTTATTGGTTAGAGGGGGTAACTTCAAATACTCTAATTAATAAGTGCCGACTATATTTTAAGTTACGAAATCGGACATAAAAACGTACTTTCTCCGAATAAACATACCTTTTTTTCAGACGGATTCGGATTCCCGACCCTTAAAATATAGGGGATAGCCGCAATCTGAGAAATATGGTGCCAATAGTTTGGTTAGGAGAGCAGTCTAAAGCTTGGACTTTTTAATTTTAATTTCTGCACATTTTTCATACCTCGAAAATTTTTTAAGCGAATTGAAACAGTTTTACCCATAACTATACGATTCGTTTATCTAGAGATAATGCAATGCAAAATATAAATTTCAGTAAATATTTATTATAATTTATTATTATATTTTATTATTTAATCTCATAAAAATCGGAAAACTTTTAAATTGTAAAATACACAATTTTTACATAATTTTAAAGAATACTATTTTAAAAAGCAAAATGTAAAATCTGGGTGAAATCGGTCGAATAGTTCCAGAGAAATCGAATTTTTAATATATGACTTTTTCAAAATTCGCTTTCTCAGAAACTATTCAACAGATTTTGCTGAAATTTTGTATTTTGACATTCAAAATTGCATTCTTAAAAATTATGTGAAAACTTGTGCACCTTACAATTCAAAAGTTTTTCGCCTTTTATGAAATAAATAATAAAAAATAATATATATTTACAAAAAGTTATATTTTGCAAGGAATTGTCTTTGGACAAACGAATTTTTTAATTTTGTGCAAGCATTTTTCAATTCGTTTAAAAAGTTCTCGAGATATGATAAAATGCGCAAAAAGTTAAATTAACATTAAAGGATCCAAGCTTTGGACCGCTCTCGTGATCGAACTGTTAAGCCTATAATTCGCAGATTACAGAAAATATGGGTTTAATAGTTTGATCCCCCTAAATTTTGGGTATCAGAAATCCGAATCCGTCGAAAAAAACGTATGTTTAATCAGAGTAAGTTGAGAAAGTACGTTTTGGTAGTTGAGAAACGTACGTTTTTGTAGTTTTGTAGTTGTTTTGTAGTTTGTAAGTTGAGAAAGTACGATTTCGTAACTTAAAATATCGTCTGCATTAATTAATCAACGTATTTGAGGTCACCCCTTTGAGCTATGAAGATTGAACGTGAAGATCCAATCATTAAATAAAAAGTTTTTCAGAGTGGACGGTTTTTTATTTTGCGCTGTACATGCCTATTACGTAAGCAGTTTAGTTTTGTGGTTATTTTTAAGCAAGTAAAAAAATTAATATCAAACGCTGTTTACATTTCACCAGGAAAAAAAATCAAGGGACAGAAGTTTTTGTGGTCTGATAGAAATTTAATATTTACATTGTCTGTAGCGACAGACAGTTCCATGAAATATTTTGCGAAGGTCATAACATTTTATTATGACAATGGAGTTCTTTGTAAATGCCAAACAAGTGAGTTTGTCTCAAATGTGGTAACCATAACAAAACTCAGCCTCCGCGCCGGTTGACGGGAAGTGTGGGAAGCCGAGCAATGCGTCATAATAGCATGTCTCGCCGCTACGAAATCTGATTGGCTGATTTATTCCATTTCTTTTTTTTCAAACTTTTAAATGGTTTCTTTGCACGGCTGATGGGAGATGAATAAGACAAGGTCAAAAAAAAGAACAAAATAAAACGAAAGGAAAACCAGAAATGGTGTATCATTTGCTTTAACCTGTCGCAAAAAAGGTTTTTGTTTCGTATTATGTAGGTGTTCTTCTACCCAAAATTCAACTAATGCTATTTTTTCCATTCCTTATACGGTCAAAGCAGTATGCAGGTCATGCTTCGTTTTCAACCCA